AAGAATTCGTCAGCTGTCCTATGCTTAGTGGATTTTCTGAGGCATGCTTGAAATTAATTTTCAATAAATTATACGGTAGACCTGTTGAAAATTAACTGGTATACTGTACTAGTATGTCTATGGTATGGTTACGTAAGTAGCTACCCGGTATGGTTATGCAGCTAGAGGGCGGTAGAATGAATTATATCGAAATCTATCGCGAATTTCTCTGCCTGTTTCAAAACGGTACACAAGGCACTTCAAGTCACCTTGATAATGGTGATCAGACACCTGTCATTTAACAAGCCTGGAATTAATACAGAACCACTTAAACAGATAATCGCGAATACTGAGATATTCCTAAAAGGCCTATTATAATCTCTCTATTTTCACTCACTTGTTTTGGTGTCTAATGTTCTCTTTTATGATGTTTAGCCAGCCATTAGCTTATTGTCAGGCGCTATGATCTAGCTCATAAAGAAAATCCTATCAAATTGTAATCGCAAAGTATCGATTAATCAAGGTGAAGGCTACAGCTACTTTGTGTTCCAAGGTTTCTTCGAGTTCACCAGATCAGTTTACGTCTTTGTTTTATTGAAGAAGTTACTCAATTGATTTTGAAATTGAATAGATAGGCGCCCTAAATTACAATATACAATATACTTTTCAAGAAAAGCTGATAACTTACTCAAATAAGTTATAAAAAATAGCAATTAAAGAATGATGAAAATAAAGCTATCAATATATTGGCATGTTGGTCATAAAAATCTCAGAAAATAAAGAAGATCCAAAGACCAGATAATCAGGAAATCAATAATTTAACTAATATGTTTATCAATCAATAACCCAATTAATCAAATTATCATCTTATGTGTTACGACTATCAATCAATCAATCGATCGGCCAATTGATCAATATATAACCAATCAATATCTTAGGTAACCAGATAATCATTTACAGCAATCAATCAATACAGTATTTGGACCAATCAATCAATAAATCTATCAATCGATCCATAATTCAATCGATTAATCAATCAATAAATAAAACAATTAATCTATAAACCGATCGATTGCACAATCAATCGTTCGATTAATCTATCAATCAACCGATTAAATTATCAATAAACGAACCGATTATTCAATCAATCATTAAATTCAATCGACCAATTGGATGAGAATCAGTCAATCAATCGGGCTGTCAATCAATCTATCAACACACCAAAAATTATATATCGCATAATAATGGTTACGTGCTACACATCTTGACACTCAGTGGGAATACACGGCTTCGCATAACCACACACTCTATCGCTTTAATATATGCACGTTAAATAATTGCATGAGGCACGTAGGCCAATTCTTAGTAAATGTATTTCGGACGAACTGTTCGATCAGGATTAACGCAATCATGGGCAAAAGTGTAACTGATCTCTGCCAATTGCAGTAGGCCATTTAGTAAAACGAAATAAATGTCGTAAAATACATGCTAAACACTGTAACATTACTCTATGTGAACTCAGACGGTAATTTTCGGCCGCTAGGTTTCTCATCAAACCTTCAATCATGTTAGTCCTCTCAGGAAAATGAGTAGCGTTTCTTTCGAACTTGATATCCATTACAATGATCTTCTACTTATCAAAGTGACGTTTTGTCACGTGACCTAAAGCTAGATGTATATATACCACGAGCATAATGACGGGATGAGCCCAATTACAGCTAAGTGTTCGATGCATCAAGTACAATAGTCCATCGGGAACTGGTGCTGCGGAACTTCGCAAAATACTTGAAGATAAGCGAAAGATTAAAAAGGTAATAATTATATTAATTGTAGTCTTAATAGTGGTACTTTATTATCCCTGGGTTATTAGCGATTGGGCAATTTGTATTTGTATATATTTATGTGTAGGGCCTACTATAGGGTACAAAACAAAAAATGAATTTCTTTTCTTGAAGGACAATAAAACATAGTAGGCCGTAAGTAGTTATATCAGAAAGTTTGCTTAATATATATATATA